TTTAGCCCTGTATTAGGGTTAGGGGTGTGCACCAGGGTAGGGTTAGGGTTAGAAAAGTGAGGTGTCCTGGCATGATTTTGATGGTTGGCGTGTGTTCAGAATGGGCAGAAAGGATGAGCTGTGCAGTAAAAGCTACTGCAGGGAGGCTTTTTGAAAATCGCCCCCTTTTCAGTGGAACTTCAGCCCTGTATTAGTGATAGGGGTGTGCACCAGGGTAGGGTTAGTGTTAGAAAAACGCGGTGTCCTGGCATGATTTTGACTGTTGGAATGTGTTTAGAATGGGCAGAAAAGATGAGCTGTGCAGAAAAAGCTACTCCAGGAAGGCTTTTTAAAAATCGCCCTCTTTTCAGTGGAACTTTAGCCCTGTATTAGGGTTAGGGGTGTGCACCAGGGTAGGGTTAGGGTTAGAAAAACGAGGTGTCCTGGCATGATTTTGATGGTTGGAATGTGTTCAGAATGGACAGAAATGATGAGCTGTGCAGAAAAAGCTACTCCAGGGAGGCTTTTTCAAAATCGCCCTCTTTTCAGTGGAACTTCAACCCTGTATTAGTGTTAGGGGTGTGCACCAGGGTAGGGTTAGGGTTAGAAAAACGAGGTGTCCTGGCATGATTTTGATGGTTGGAATGTGTTCAGAATGGGCAGAAAAGATGAGCTGTGCAGAAAAAGCTACTCCAGGAAGGCTTTTTAAAAATCCCCCTTTTCAGTGGAACTTTAGCCCTGTATTAGGGTTAGGAGTGTGCACCAGGGTAGGGTTAGGGTTAGAAAAATGAGGTGTCCTGGCATGATTTTGATGGTTGGCATGTGTTCAGCATGGGCAGAAATGATGAGCTGTGCAGAAAAAGCTACTCCAGGGAGGCTTTTTGAAAATCGCCCCCTTTTCAGTGTAATTTTAGCCCTGTATTAGGGTTAGGGGTGTGCACCAGGGTAGGGTTAGGGTTAGAAAAACGAGGTGTCCTGGCATGATTTTGACGGTTGGTATGTGTTTAGAATGGGCAGAAAAGATGAGCTGTGCAGAAAAAGCTACTCCAGGAAGGCTTTTTGAAAATCGCCCTCTTTTCAGTGGACCTTTAGCCCCCTATTAGGGTCTGGGGAGTGCTCCAGGGTAGGGCCAGGGCAGTCGTGGCGAACCCATGGCATGCCTTCCACAGCGGGCACACAGAGCCCTCTCAGCAGGTGTCATCCCAGCATCGCCCCAGCGGCCGAGCCCCGGATAGCTGCACACACAGGGGCCGTGCGCATGTTCGGAACGCAGTATTGACGCCAGGCCCTGGCGCAATGAGCCGCGACACATTAGCCACGACTCCTCTGATTTTTCGCATGGCCAGGCAGTGCGCTGCCAAGGATACACACATTTGCTTGAACTGGCTGTGAGTTGTTTATTCTAAACTAAAACCTCAGTTTTCAGGTTTTATTGCCTTGTTGGCACTTAGCGATAGGTAAGTCGGTTTGGGGTTACAGTTTGGGCTCTCGGCCTCTAAAAGGTTCGCCATCCCTGGCCTACCATCTGCACAGGACTGGAGGTGTCCTATCCCCAGGGCCAGAATTTGGCCGTCACACGAGGAGGCCTGCAGGGGGCACTTTGCCCACCAACAAAGGTAGCATGTGAGCTGCGGAAACTGAAAGCACAGGCCGCATCCCCCCCAGCTGTGCATCAAGAGTTTTGCAAGTTCTCTTTAGTCACAGAGCCTTGGGGAGAAACAGCCAAAGGGTTTGCAGAGCTCAGTATGGCTTCCTCACAAGCAAACATGCACATTTCATTCTGTGACAGCCTCTGGCCTGAGCTGCATGGCGCGGGCTTCTCAAACCGGGGTGTGGCAAGCAAAGCAACCATGCCCGTTCCTCTTCTCCCGATCAATTCTTCAATATTGCCCTTCCAACATAAACTTTAAGCTTTTCAGTCTTCCAGAAGCTTAATGGCACTGTCTGAGCCGTACGACTTAGACCACAACCCCAAGGAGTGGAGTTGAGTGGGGTTTCTGCCCAGCCAAGGGGACCGTAGCTGAAAAATGAGGAGCTCTGCACCACCACCAAACCAGCGTTTGCACTCCCTGCAGAACACGGGCAAGACACAGGCTCACAGCACCAATCAGCTTTGCAAGAGTCAACAACAGTTGCGGGCGAGAGGAGTCGACACGGGAAAAGGCACTTTTCTCCCACGATGAAAGAAGAGTGGGACTTAGTGGCCTGCTTAACCCCAGAAGCATCAGCAGTTGCCTTAGACAAGGAAGAGCATTTGTCCTGATGGCCCCGTGCTCAGAGCGAGCAGCTCAGATTCAGGGGGCCCGGCTGGAATGCCCCTTCGGGGGCCCCGATCTGGCAGCCCCAACATCCCTTTTCGTTCTAGGACTGCCGTCTGGCTGTGGCCGTCCCTGCCTGACAGAACCTGCAGCCACCTGTATAGGCCTCACTGGCAGCACCGAACCTCTATGGGAAATCAACCTCAGAGGATCTATGGGGGCGGGGCATTCCAGTAGTGGGTGGAGCTGAAGGCCGAAGAGGCGGAGCCAAACTGCCACCCCCTTTTTTCAGATTCAGACTCCAACTGCTAGTTGCTAAGCCTCCAGGAAGATGTTTGAGCCTCTCCAGGTAGATAGGCAGGAAAGGGAGGAGAGAGAGGGGAGCACAGAAGCTGCCAGATAAATGGGGGCGTGGCCAGGGAAAGGGGCGTGGCCAGCTGAAGAACCTGAAAAGCCGGGTGGAGGCCCCCAGGGGCTGCATTTGGCCCTCTGGTTTGGGGTTCCGCACTCCTGCGCTACGGATTATCCACCCAGGGGGCACAACACTGGCGCTGGGGGAATGCTCAAAACGCGCCATCGCACGACACACAGCAGTGCAGGGGATGCTCAGGACATGTGGCTCTACCACCCCTTCGCCCCGGCCTGCACCCGTGTCTCATCGCCACTCCCTGGGCGGTGCGGACAGTGACTCCGAGGATGCACCCCCTTTCTTACTCCGGAGCTCCCACCTTGCCATCTTCATGGTACACGAAGATGTTCCTTGTGCTGTTGTCTTTCAGGTACGTGATCTGCAGTCCGTGCGGGTTGCCTATTTTTGCGGGCTGGAAGGTGGCGTTCAGGTGCTCTATCTTCATGATCGCTTTGGGCTCTTTTGCCTGGAGGAAAAACAGGGTGGCGGTAAGCGGCTGCAGCTAAGGCGGGAGCCGTGCCCAGAGAAGCTCGGGCTGGAAGGCGCAAAGCACTTGCATTGGTGGTACAGCCCTCTCCAGCGCCTCCGCGGCAGGCAGAAGGACTCCAACACGCAGGCGCAGTGTTCTGGGGAACGAACCCACGGGGCACAGCCTCCCCCCTTGCAGCAGCAGCCAGGGCAACTGGGGAGGGCCATGGGGCACATTTCTGCAATATTAGAGAAATGACGGTCTGGAGGAAACCTGGAAACATGTGCGGAAGCCTTTTCCCTAAGCTCTCAAACAATACAGAAGAACAACAAAGGACGATTCTGCTGGAAGTGTCCCGTTAAAGATGGGCTGAAAACTTCAACTACGTGGCTATTTTTGAAGCCTCTGCTAAAGCTCGGAGCGGGTGAGGAGCAGGCGAGGCGAGCAAGCAGTTAAGCGGAGCACAGACAAAACAGTTCCCTTTATTATGGCGGGTGGCATCAGCTCCATGCGAACTTTTGCAACTGCCTGCCGCTCGCTCAGCACCGCGGAGAACAGGGGACTCTCGCTTCCCGAAAAGGCCACGGCAGCAACGATGCGTCACGGAGGAAGCCCCACCCGCGTGCCCAGATGCGCCGGCCGACGGACTTCTGTGCAAGAGCCAACCCATCTCCTTCACCCGCTGCCCAGGCCAGTGGGGGCGGATTGCAGCCCAGAAATGCAACCGAAGAGGAGAGGAAGGAAAAGTGGGAAGGCGCCCTTGAGATCCACTCTGGGAAGGTCGCCGCTACTGGGGGCTGCTCCCCAGGGACTCCAGCTTAAGGGCTGCGGGTGTTGCGGGGGGGGGCATGGCCCAGACATGGCTTTCTTAAAGAAGGATCTGGGCAATGAGGAGGAGGAGGAGGAGGCGGCAGCACAGCAGGTGGCCATGGGCTGAGAGGATGGACTCACTGAAGAAGGAGCCAGGGAGGACGTCTTCCCCACAGGCCCTCAGAGGCCTGGAAAAAAGGTAAGTCAGTGGCCTGATAGGGCTGGTTGGCCACGAGAACAAACATGGCAGCCACAGTCAAGGAGGGACAACCCCCCCCCCCGCCCCCAAACTGGCTTCTTTCCTTCATTACTGTTTCCCTGCCTCTGTCTGCCCAGACGACAGTGGGGACGAGAAAGGCAGGAGATGCCCCGTAGGGCCTCCCTGGCTCTCAGCCCCACACACAAGCACACGGCAGCAATGCAAGAAAGGGCTTTCCAAAACCTGGGCTGCCCTGCGTCAAGGCGGGTAGAGCTCCAGTTGTTCTGGACTCCCGGGCCATCCCAGAAGCCCCTGCAGCACGGCCAATGGTCGGGGGTGCAGGAGTGGAACTCCAAGGGCATCTGGAGACCTGCCTCTTGCCCGCAGTGGCCTTACGTGCCAGGAAGAAAAAGCCATGAAGCCGAAGTGCAGATGGCACCCAATCTGCCCCAGGTGGGAGGTCCGTAGCCTTCATGCCTCGAAGAGGGTGCTGGCGACTCAGAGGCTGCAATGCAGCCATGCAGGAGTCGTTCCCCTTGCATTGCATCCCTCCTGGAAGTCCACCTTTTTCTGCGAAAGCGCAGCTCCACCTGGTTCTGAGGGCCACCAACTCCAAGATGAACTGACTCGGCAGAAGGAAGCGCTCTGTGGAGCTGAGTCATACAGCCGCTTTCACACTTCCCAAATGTTCCGACACTGTTCTTGGCTCAAAAAACCCGCTCAACATGTGTTTAAAACTGTGCATTTCAAAGCAGAAGCCATTTTTAGAACTGCATAGCTTGGGGGAGAGAAAATACTTTAAAAATGCTCACTCAAATGCCAAGTTGGGTGCAGATTTTTTCTCTTCATTGCAGCTCAATGCCAAAAAGTGATGGAACAGCAGGGGCTTCTGCAGGGTGAACGACCTATGGTCCTGCAGTTGCGGTGGGACTCCAGCTCCCATAATCCCCAAACTTCTCTAGGGATCCAGATTCTGGTCTCGTCCAGCGGCCAGAGAGAACCAAGGCCCATAATGCATTTGTCACTCATGGGATAAATATCCTAACAAGGAGGAGACTCTTCCAGCCCCATACCTCACCCTGAGAAAGAAAAGGTGCAAAGCCACCTCATCTTTCCCTTCCAGAAGCACACCCGTACAGATTCTTAAACTGAAATCTGGGGCCTAAGTTTGGTTTGTTTTTTCCCTCCACCCTCCCAACCCAATTTCCTCTAGTGCTGTGCCTTTTTGATTGGCAGGGATGGTCTTAGGACTAACCCCTGAAATCTGTTGTGGGAACTTTTATTTGGCTGAAGAGTCGGTAAAATTGTGCCAAAGACCTAAGCAAACATCATGCGAGTTCTTTGATGCAAAGGGCACGATTCACTGTGTACTCACACAAAAAACACCCATCGGGGAACGTATGGTCCCAAATGTGACACAGAATAAACAGCACAGGGCAGAGAAGGGGAGAGGGTCTGGCAAAGTCCCTGGAGGGCACGAGGCATTCTTGGCAGCAGGGGAAAAGGGCAGCGCCCCCAACAGCCGCTCCTGGGGGATTCTTACATCATTCTTGTTGAAATACTTCAGGGCGCCTTCGCGTTCCGAAAGGACGAACTTCCTGCTCAGGAACTGCCCGTTGTCCCGACCTCTCTTCCACAGGTATCCTTCCCGGTACCCTACACGGGAGGGACAAGAAGAGAGACAAGACAGCGTCGTGGTTGTTTTTCAGGTCATAGCTGACAACTCTGGACGAGAACATCAAACCACCTGCACAATGGGCCAGAGAGCGCATCTTTCCTCCAGCGGGAAATCGCGCCTGCCCGCTCAGCGCTGCTGCGAGCACCGGGGCCGGCATGAACACCCGTCCACGGAGTCGCTTTTCCAGGAGAGGCGACGAGGCGAAGGGTTTTCGTGCCCCCTCTGTGGGTGGGACAGCAGTGGGTCGGAAGGAAGCGATGGGGCAGCATCTTCTCTTGCTGTTTTTGATCGAAGGACACCCCGCTGCTCCCTCAGTGTTGGCAAACAGGAGGAAACGCATCTCCAAGAAGAGGGGATATTTATTCTATTTCAAACTTTTGTGCACTGTCCCATCACAGAGGTGTCGGGGCCGTTCACAACCACAGCAGTAAAATAAGATAAAGATAAAAATAGCACAGCATCCACTATTAAATGTAAAACCACGGATTATGATAAATGAGCAATTAAAATAGTGGGAAAATAAAAAGGTTTTCATCTGGCGCCGAAAGGAAAGAGGCGTTGGTGCCAGGCGAACCTCTCTGGGGAGCGAGTTCCACGGTTGGGGGGCCGCCACAGAGAAGGCCCTCCCCCTCCTGATCTCTTTCAAGGGGGACTCCCAGGGGAGGACGATCTCGCCAGTACGGCTCAGCACAGCACAGCGAATGCCAGAGACCGCAACCTGGTCCAGTCCAGGCCTTTGCTCTCCATCTTCAGCTTGACTGCATCCATCTCCGGGCTTTTACTGCTCCTGCAAGAAACCCGTGGTGGTGCACATGGCCCTCATTCTCTCCATGTTGCCCCCAGCAGCAAGCCTGCAAGGTGGGCTAGGCAGCGAGTCCCCCAGGAAGCGTCATGGCTGAGCGGGACTGGAACCCGGGCCTCCCAAGTCCCACTCTGGCCCGAACATTCCTCCCTGTGCCCTTCGGTCAACACCGCTCTTCAAAAGCAGTCCTTGATTACTTTATTGACCGTACCTCTTTGTAGTCTGCTTTTATATATAAATGCAAAATAGCCAGGCATCGGCTGTTACCACATTAAGACATTAGCAATCGCAGAAATTGAAAATGCTATTAAAATATAACCCAAGTAGATAGCAGGAAACTAGTCATAAATACCAATATATATTTTATCTTAATTTTCTTTGTCGGGAGTTTTCTTCCACTTTTGTGTCGTGCGGGGGGGGGGGGAGCTTTAGGGGCAGAAAGTGGCTGGGTGGGAAGGTTTAATCCTTCCCTTCACCTGCATGCAGTGGTCGCAGGAGGGGGGGAATTGCTCGCATTTAAACTAGAAAAGGGATCAGCCGCAGGCTTGTGCATTTAACACAGCAGGCAGGTCGGTTATGCTATAGAAGCCGCATTGCTGCTGAACAAACCTTTCCCAAGCCAATGCCCTCCAGATATTTCAGACTACAAGTCCCATCAGGGCCAGTCAGTAAGTCCAGTGGTCAAGGATGATGGGAGTTGCTGTGGCTACTCAGAAGGCTGTCCTAACCAGAGACCAGCTTACAGAGCTCAGGATCCAGACATTAAATTCCTGAATTTCTGGGGCTCCACCTTCTATGATTACTGCCAAGACATGAATTCTACCCAGATTAATTAACAGTCTAGCCCAGGGGTTGACAACCCACGGCTCCGGAGCCGCATGTGGCTCTTGAACCCCTCTGCTGCGGCTCCGTCCATCTGCTCCACTCAGGAACACAGTGCTAGCTAGTCAAGCAAATCAGCTAGTTAAGTAAATGGCTACATTCCTCTGCTAAACAAGCTTCCTGCAGGCTCTCATGTTGCTGCTGAAAGGATTCTCTTTGTCCCAATGTAACCTCCTTCATCTGAATGTTAAAAGCTGCACTTGGGACCTGTCACAATTCACAGCACTTGACTGTTTATCTGCTAATCAGTCACTAAACACACCTATATCTACGATTTACTGAGCTTTCCCCCCATCCAACCATGGATAAATCTGAAGAAAAGTTTCTGAAGAAAATCGAATGTTTAATGGTACGTGGGTAGATTCATTTGCTTTTACTGCTGACGAATTTATGGGGTTTGCTGTTTAATGCATGCAGCCCTTTAGCACTGACTTTGACTCTTCAGGAAGCTGTTCTCCTATTCAAAATATATGGAAGCAGTCCTACTAGATTATAATGTAAGATTAAAAATAACAGTTTTTAGTGACTGAACAAGAGCTGCAGCTAAATCATAATGAAGATATACATAGCATTAAGGTAAAAAACGATATATGCAGTGTTATCTTCATTTTAGATGTCAAAAGGGATTTGCGGCTCCCGGTGTTTTCTTTTGTGTAGGAAACGGAAACAGGTCCAAATGGCTGAGTATTAAAGGTTGCAGACCCCTGGGCTAGCCGTTTGCAAGCGGTGAATTATTCAGCGAGGGTCATTCCTCTGCAGATGTGCATGGATGCAAAGCTGGATCCAAACAGCAGCACTTTCTGTTCTGCTGACTTTAACTGGAAATGCTGAGGACAAGCCATTGTCAGCGTGCAAATTAGATTCCGGTCACCTTTACTGCTTGTCTTGTCAAGACTACCATAGGAGGAGAAAACTCCTTCCCAAGCTCACAGAATTAGCCGCTCTGATGTTTGGCTAGCTGTTCCCCCCTCCCCACCTCTTGCTCCCCTTTGTTGAACATCCAATAAAGCGATTGCCCCATCAGGGATGCTGAAATTCGACATCCACATTCCAGACATTCACTGGGACATGCCTGTTTCAGGCATCACACACACCCATCCATAAAAGGTTGGCCATGTCTTTGAAGCAACCAGATAAATCTCTCCGAGAGCAGAACAGTTCGCTCTTTATGAGAACGAGCTGTTAGAAACCGAAATGTCAAAACTGAAGCATCACAACAGCCAGCCCCGAAGCAAACCTGACGATTTAATCCACCGTATTCGCCAGGCATCACCTGTATAGCGGTCTATCCGCTGTCAGCCACCTCCAAGGAGAAATTCATTAGCCCTCTCATGATCCATCATGGGTGATACGTGCAGAATGAAGCGGCACCCCGTCATGAATCAAGCAGGGATGTCAGGCGGGAGGAAAGCAGCAACTGCCTGCTTTGCGCTTCCCAGGGAGGAAGGAGAATTAAGCAGCAAAGAGAGCAAGTACCTCTGGATCTCCTAATGGGTCTCTGGATAATTTGCAATAGACGGATTTCTGACTCCAGGTTGTTCATCGCCACAACAAGATGACTCTCCCTTCTCTCCAAAGAGAAACACTGGAGGGACCAGAGATGTGGGAGGACTGCAAGCCACCCAGACTATGGCGCATGGGGCAGCGTACAGATGCAAAAATGCATAGATAAGTAAACACATCAATAAATAAATCTCTGTTCTGTTCTAGAACCCACATTTATTCAAATATTTATTATTTGCATTGGCATTTGTGGCAGCTTCTATCATTGTTTTCGGAGGAACCTCCCTGAAGCAGGTTAAGCTAAGCATAACTGACTGGCCCAACATCGTCCAGGGAGCTTCATAACTGCGTGGAGACGAGAACCCAGACCTGTCGAGCCCCAGCTCAGCTCCCTGTGCAGCGCGTCACAGTGGCTCGCCAAGCAAACTCCTTCATTCCCTTCTAGCAGACTCTGCCTGATGGATTCAGGTAAATATGCACGCACATACGCACACCCAGAGCTCCTGTGAGCCTGGAACCTGCCCGCCCTAAAACAGGGTGTGTGTGTGTTGTTGTGTACTCCAGAGGTTGGGGGTTGCGCTTCTCATTTTAGCTGTATTCAACAGTACTATGCATCAAACACGCACTAGAGCGACCTATCTTACATTGGGGCTAATTTATTCAGGAGGAAATATTCTGTAAAATAATAACTTTCTTCACATCCAGAAAGAAAACCACCCTGGACATTGCAGCCAGGATGGGAAGCAAGTCAGCCACTATACCTCTAAGCCAGACCCCTTGGGGGATGGTGTGTGTGGGGGGGGGGGGGATCCATGTTTTTATCCCCAGTTGCAGATTGGAGATAGAAGCAAGGACCCGGGGGGGCCCAGCTGTGGCTTGGAGGAATAGCTGAGTTATTCCACCCCACAGGGACAATTCCACTCTGCCCTGGGGAAGACACAGCACAGACTAAACTTCCCCAGCTTGAGCAGTGACTTGGCCATGGACCCTGACGTCACCCAGCTCACACAGGGCCAAGTGAGGGTCATGTGCCCCCTCCACCCCCTCCCCAAGCTCAAGAGAAAGCTCATCCATGCACAATCCCCCCGGCACTTCCGTGAGGATCCAGGAGTTTCTCAGGACCTTTGGGTCCTGCTGATTTCCCAGGGCTGCCATAGCTTCAAAAGATGCAAGACCCAGGCTGTCAGATACATGCGCGTCCAAAGAGATGGGAAGGAGTCTCCTCCCCAGGTCCTGCACCCAGAGTATACTGTGACCCGCCTCAAAGAACATGCTCCCATCTTGCCCGCAGAAGTCCGCAGCTGCCGGCTTTCCAGCGACACGTCTATTCAAAAGGCTCCTCTCTTCATTCCCGAAGAGAACACGTGTTCCCCAGTCTTGTCCCCTGGTCTATTTGAACCCAGCTTCCAAGCGCCCTTCCTACAGCTCCACGGATGTCCGCTTGCCCAGACGGCCGGCCGAGCCGGGAGACGAACGCTGCGGATTAAATCGATTGTTTCCACAATGCCCAATTAACCCATTCAGGCTGCAAACGATTCAATTTATTCAATTCGAGGCAACTGGCACTCAGGCAGAGCAGAGAAAGCAAACCCAATTGCTCCTAACCTCTCTGCACGATCCATGGATCTGTGTGCACACTGGGGAAACCGGAGACACCAAGGACACGGTCAAGCCGCATCTCAGCATTTTTAAGTGTGATCAAAGCTCTCCCATAGCAAGTCCATGGCACAAGCCATCTGGCCTGTGGAAATCCGGGGTAAGGAAGCATTCACACACACACAACACACGTGT